TCTTGCAGCCCGCACAAGCTGACCCCCATGACCTTGCCTACACATCGATTGCTTTGAACTTGTAACTAGAGCTGGCACGTAGCTGAACCTAAGCTCGCATTCGGAGTCTCGCATGGACGTGTAGAGGGAGAGGGGGGAGTGGGGTAGGGAGAGACATTCAGGAACTATAGCAGCAAGTTGTGCAGCAGTCAGCAAAACTATTCGTCAAGTCGTGCGAAGCGTTTATGTTTGTTGTGTTTGCTACGTGACGTTGATTTGGAAGGCGACTTAAAGGTGACATTGGCAGGACCCAAGCTGGGCAGACGTCATAAAAATGTCGCAGGATTTGCTGCCAACGCGCATTTGGCTACAAATGTCTGGCCAGCTGAATTGAAGCGGACATTTGCCTCCCCGGGACCCAACGAGCGCAACATCCTGGCATCCAGCTGCGAGCAGTTGTCCTGCCAGTGCCGTTTAGCTGCTTAGCGCCGCACAATCACTGCAACTCCCTGTGACTGGAAGCCACTGCAGTTGCCTCGTCCCGGTGGCAGATCTAATTGCAAATGCAGTCGATTCGACACTGCAGCCGAACGTGCCGCGCATTGAGGTAATGATTTAAGCAGACAATTTGCCGCACGTACCAGGCACCCATATATCTAAATTTATATATATGTATTTTATGCACTACATATATACGTATATATATATTTTTAAGGTTGTTCATGGCTTCGAGCAGTATGCAAATAAAAGAAAGGTCAAAGCTCAATGCCGAATTCAGCTATTAAAGAGCTGAGCGCGAAGTTCAGTGTCCTTTTCATGGCGTTTACGTCTGGACCGCAGCCCACTTGATTCGCACTTCCCTTGGACTAATTTAAATGCTAGCCTTTGGGCTTGCCCCAGCCAATGCATTCGGTAAAAGAAAAACCGAAAAGCGAAAGCCCAATAAGACGTAGGCGCCTTCAGGGCGTATCTTCATTTCAACTTTAATTTGAAACCTATTGACATTGCCCTCCGCCTTTGTCTCTCACATCTAACGTTTTGCCTTTTTTCACAGCAACTTTTTCTGAACTGCTTTTATTGGGGCCGCAGGTGCCAAAGGCTTGAATTATGAATAGGTTGCAGCACTTATTATGATTATGTGTGTGCAAGGCAGCGGATATTTGAACAGGTTTCGCTCAAAATCAACGCATAATTTGCTCTGGGCCATGCAAAATATAACGGGTTGAGCTTTAATTTATGAGTTGAAGTTATGTTCTTATTATGGATGTTCAGGTGGGTTTACCTTTAACGGATTCCATATTTAATTTTTTTTGGCATCTTTGATGCTGAACAAGTTTATAAATAACTTTATTTATGCGCCTTTTTGTCTGTTAGCAGTCTTTCTTGTTTTAATATTATTAACTTGGCCCATCAACTAATTGACAGTTAATTAAGACTTCCATTTTTTTTTTCATTTTTGCATGCAAAGATATTCAAACATTTTATATTGCTTGTCACAAAGCTGTCTTCATTCCTAATCCAGTGTCAATCTGAGAGCTGGACGGTTGGAACTTCTGTGGATTACGGGCAAATGGAAATATTTGCTGACACTGTCAGTCAGGCAGTCGGTCGATGATGCAAATCTTTTATTAATTGAATAAGAAAAACGCATTTACAAGAACTTAAATCAAATAGTCAAATATGTTGATGAAAACTGTCGAGGATGTCTGTCTGGCTGTGTGGCTTACTCTGATAGCGTTGCGCGCTGCTGTAAACCAATTTCATTGGAATTAAAATTCTAAATAAAATAAACAAAGTTGGCGAACGAAAGAAATGCAGGACATGAACGTGTCCACGTGAGTCGAAGGGGACGTGGACATGGCTTGGGAGCCGCCTTTGGGCGGCTGCTTATGGCCAAGTAAATGGCGCAACATTCGAGTAGTTTTAGTTTTACTTGTACTTTTAGTGCAACAAATCCCAATGCCAATCCCAATCCCAATCCCAAACCCAATCCCAATGCCAAAGTCGCCTGCAGTCAAACTTGCCGCCTGCAGAGATGCTAAAGCTGATCCTGAGATTGTGTTGTAACAAGTTAATTGAATTTGCACTCAGCCAAGCGTCATGCATCGGCATCACCAGCTGAATGCAGACGTTGCGATATGCTGGCTGAAGATAGATAGAAGGAGGCAGCGCAGCGCCCCATTGGAGGTGCAGGCTAAAGAGGTAGATATACCGATACAACTTGCTTAGTTTATGGCAACACCAACAGTTCAATGAGGCTCTCACTCTTCCTCTCGCTGTGTCCGTTCGATTTCAGCTTCCACACATACACACACACACACACACCCACACACACACATAGAATTTTCACTGCCTTCATTTTTCGCCCCAACAAAATTTTGTGATTTGCACAGATTTTTGCTCGTCCCTCTCAAGTTCGCCTTAGTTTTGTTTTTCTTGTTCCTCCTTTTGTTGCTCTTTTGCCTTTCTGTTTCTGCTCAGTTCTATGCTGTTCAGTTCTACTGTCGATTCTGTGCAACATTGTTGTAGCTGCTGGCAGCAGCTTTGGAGTTCATTAAGCGCATGTGAGCCGGTGCCAAACAATGTCAAGCCCGCCTTCTGTCTCCCCCACTCAACACTCTGCTCTGCTAGCAGCTTCAGCTCGCCTGAGCTCGACGGCAGTGTGTTGATCCTTGCAGACAAATGGGCCTCATTCCTGGGAGCGAGAGCACAAGCTTTTAGCAGATTAGTTTTCATCATCTTAACATTCCTAATTAATGACGCCTTTGTTCAGCTCCGTTTAGGTGTTAAATCAAAGACTTGCTGGGCATGCATGCGTAATGACTAATGAGTTGCGAGATATGAGAGCTTGAGCTGAGATGAGATGAGATGCTGAAAGGCTGCACTCTCAAATTTGCCATTTTGCTGCTGATTCGGAGTGCTCTGAGAACACAATACGCACTGCAGTCAACTGAAGCTCATTAGTTGATTTCATTGTATACCTACAGATCACAGTTGGGACTTTGTAAAAAATAAGTTTTTATTGCTAAATAATATGTACTCATTAAAAATGAATTCGGTTAATTAAATTTTGAGTAGTTCGTTAGGCCAGGCACGCCGACATTTTAGCCAGTTGCCAGTTGCCAGTTGCCCGTTTCGGCATAGAAACTAATCCATTTTGGGTGCTTTCACTCTGCTACTCATGCCGCATTCAAATTAAATCAAATTTTGCATATTCATTTCAAATTGAGATGGCAAACAACACGTGACATTTTTGCTGAACAAGTCTAGCTCTGTGGCAGTGGCAGGCATTAGTTCTATTATACAGGATGTGTACAATTTTAATGCAATTATTCGACTCCAGCTCATTAATTAACATTGCACTTAATTAGCTGTGCGGTTATATTTGTTTTAATCAGCATGAGCGGGACTTCATGTCAATTTGCCAGCAAATGCGAATGCAAATGCAAATGCAAATCAACAATGTGTTTCACAATTTTCTTGCGTGCGTGTATATTGTAATCATATATAATTATGATATTGAAAATCAACTAGCGCATTTAGTAACGGTAACAAAAGGGCGACCAATACGCCGACCGAAGTGCGCCAAAGTTTGTAAAACTAATTTCCTAGTGGGAAATGTCAAAATGTTTTTGACAAGTCCAATTTTGGAAAATTTGAAATTTTAGCTGTAATTAACTTTTTGGGCTAAGGCAATTAGCGCTCCACAGAAACTAATTTATTTTATGTGCGTTTCGCCTGGTTCTGAGCTGCTCTGTCTGTGTGTGTGCCTGTGTGTGTGTGGGTACACCCACTGTCCAGGACATTCTAACCCACGTAGAGCATTATGTCAACATTGTTAATAAAAGTTGTACAACAAGTGCATATTCTGCATAATAATTATTCTGGGAATACATTTAAAACAGGAGCGCATTCAGGGTAAAATATTGCTCTACTCTACTACTATGACACTCGCTTTCAAAGTCGATTCGTACTCGAGTAGACGAGTAGGAATAAAATAATATTTTATGCTGATTTTAAGGCGTAGAGCGCTCCTGTTCTGCGTCTGTGGTAAATAAATTGCAAACATCAAAATGAGCTCCGTGTCGTTTAGTCGCCTCCAGAAAGAAAATTGAGTGAGCGAATGAATGGGTGAATGACAGCAGCAGCAGCAGCAGCAGCAACAGTCTGGCGCTGGCTGACATTACACTTGTCAACGGGTAGTAATTGCTTTGACGATGCCATGCGATGAGCGGCTGCTGACTTTGACTGTGGCTTTCCAGGCACACAGCACAGCTCACAGCGCACAGCTCATCACAAAACACAATAATTGCCAAGTGATGGCCAAATGGGGATGAGCATGGCAACGGTGACGGCGATGGCGATGGCGTTTGGTAGCTTGGCGTGCGCATCAATAACGCGCCGCGCCGTGTCGCCTTGCTAACGTGGCCAAGTGGCCACCAAGTTGGCAGCAAGTCAACAGGCAACGCTGGGCGAAAATCACACCCATTTATCAGGCAGCAGCGGCAGCAGCAACAGCGTCAGCTAATTGCAGTTCATGCGAAAAACATCGTTAATCAACTCATTGACAGTTTGTTATTTGTTAAACAAAGCTAATGACTTAATGGCATAAATGGTGTGGCAGCGCAGCGGCAGCAACACATTTATATATATACATATATATATATATATATATATATATATATATATATATATATATATATATATATTCAAGCAAGGATATCCGACAAGAGAGCAACCAGCAGTTCCATCCGATTCATGACACGCCAGGCCACGGCTGATAGCCAATAAAGTGACAAGCCAAGGTGAAATTAAGTGTGCGGGCCAGCTCAGCGCTTGACAGCAGCTGAGCTGCAACAGCTCTGTTGACTATATATCAATAATAATTTTTTTTTAATTTTTAGCTGTTCAAACTTTACTGCCAATGAGAGAGGAAGGCGACAATTTTAGGGCGTCTCGGCAGGCAATGCTTTTTCAATCCTATTTCGAGGAAGCTTTGGAAAATGTAATTCTTGATATACTTTTTAGTTCGTTGGCTCTCAGCATTCAGATCGCAAAAAAAAAACAAAAATAAAAATAAATTTTAATTTTATCAAATTTTGCCTAAATTCGAAGTGAGTGATTTTCGAGTTGATTACGGTTTTTTTTTTGAAGGACTCGGCACTGAACGATCGAAATGAACATGAACTATAACATTCCTTACGAAGCTAACTATACTGATGATGTCGGCATTAAATTCGGTACGTTGGCGGGAACATTCTAATTTCTCATGATTTGCAATCTTTTCAGATGGTGGGCATGCAGCCACTGGGTATGCCAGGCATGTCGGGCGTGCCTGGCATGGCAGTTCCGGCTGGGTCCATGCCGATGAGCATGCCAATGGGAATGGCCGGAGCGGGCATGAATCAGATGCAATTACCACTGGCAACCATGCCGGCCATGGCGATGCCAATGTCTACGGCTGGTCAGATGCCCTATCCGATGCAAAGGGCTGCACTGCCATCGCAGCCAATGGGTATGATGTCATCGATGCAACCGGCTCAAGGCAGTCAGCTGGCGATGTCGATGTCGCAGCTGCCGCCTGGGGCAGTAACGCCCTTGAACAGTGTGTCTGTGATGCCAGTGATGGGCAGCGGGGGCGCCATTGATGGCTCTGGCATGAATGTCGTTGTGCCCGATCTGCAGCCGCTTTCGGCTATGTCTCAGATGGGCTCAAACAGTCAAATGCCACACCTGCAGCATGGCCGGTTGGCAGGCGGCGCGGCAGCGTCGAACAGCAATTGGATGCAGAGTCCGAATGCCGCCCAAATGATGCCAAACCAAATGTGGAACTACGCTCAAGCATATTCAAATTTGCAGCAGCAACAGCAGCAGCAGCAGCAGCAGCAGCAACAGCAGGCCGCCCAGCAACATCAGCAAATGCAGCAACATCAGCAACAGCAACAGCAGCAGGATCAGCAGCAGCAGCAACAACAGCATAATCGTATGAAAGCCCATTACGATTATTCCAACAGCAATAGCTTTAGGGAGACTCGAAACGGATTAAAGTAAAGCTGCGTCTATACAATTTTTCAAATATTCAAATTCAAATCTTCAAATCTTTCTTTGCAGCTCACCCGCAATGTATGATTCGCTACGACTCAGGAGTAGCAGTGGATACATAGGTAAGTTCAATCCATCGCTTTCTCTACATCAATATTCATCAATGCTCATCACGTACCACAGGAAAAAAGGTCCCACAATGGCGCTGATCTTTGGTTTTGTCTGATTCAACGATCATACATATATATATATATCATTTGTAGTTGCCCAATGTTGTTCACATCATACACATAACGTTCAATCGACCTTTGCCAGTTGTCAAAATTGTCCTCAATGTGTAATCGACAATTTGAATAGCGTGTGGACTTGCTCTCAAACCAAGCTAACTTACACGTTTTGCAAAGTTCGTCTATTCTACAATGAATTATTTGCAGGTATCTTTCATGAACAAATATATTGTATTCTGAAAAAGCGAGCAGACATCTGATTTATTGTGAAACAGGCTTAACAGTTTCTCAACGATCTAATACAATGGCTTTTCTGGGTGGTATTCCTACTCCTTTGTGTTGGATTTGGATATGGATTTGGATTTGGTCCATTTAGAAGTCGCTCTGGGCATACTTTGTGTGTGCAGCATTCTACAGTCAACCACAACCACAACCTCAGCCGCAAATGCCGCAACGGCTACAACAAAAACACAACTTGCGCAAAAAGCAAGTAAAAGTTTTCGCAATTTTCGCTGGCGGGCGCAAATGCATTTGGCGTCGGAGTTTTCACTTTGACTGCGGATTTGGCTTTAAGCGCTTTGATTTATGGCATTCAGACATCAAAATTGGCAACATGTTGCAACTGGCCCGAGTGGTCCGATATCAAGACATTTGGCTAAAAATGAGCCAGCCAAGCGAAACGGGTGAGGAACAACAAACGACGAGCGACGATGAAAAATTTATGCTGACCGCATGATGAACGCATAAAAAATGCTGCCAACTTATGGCCAAAATGCAATCCAACTCGTTCCAGCGCATATAAACAATGGCTTTATCGAGTCAACGGCATCAGCTGGCGTTACGAGGCCACTCTGGGATACTGCGCGTATATGTGCATCTCTCTATACATATTGCAGCCACACATTCACATAAATATGTTAGTCCATGACCGGGGAACCGAAAACTAAGTCATTTTGTTGAAACGTTAGATTCTGGCAGCGAAGGTGTGAATATTTTATGTGACACTATTTTGATATCATAAATCTTTTAGTTGTTTATTCAAGCGCGTTGGCTCTTGCTGCATTTTACATTGGCCACATTGAGTTGCCACAAATTTTCTGTTTGAAGAACGTGGCGCCAACTTTGGGTTGACAGCTGGTTCTGCCAGCGTAGTTCTATCTGGCTGAGACTGACTGTTGGTCCATACCTTATCCCTTTGGTTGACTAGTTGACTAATTGATTGATTGATGCTTAACATTCAACACAAGTGAAGTATCCGTTATATGCTGCAAATATCTTTTTGCTGATCGATTTTTGGAATCAAGATTTTAGTTGTGGGTGGACGCTTTGTCTTTGTGAATCTGTTTTTACCTCAGAGCACAACAAAATATCTTTTTGCGTTGTTAGATTGCGAAACAAGTTCGCAAAAATTTCAACTATGCCAAAACTAAAATAATCTCATTTAAACTGCCATCCAGCTGCAGCAGCAGCTATTGCCATAAATACATACGAATAAACACAAACGGAGAAATACTTTGCCATAGAGTTCCATCTGAACGGGGTCTCCGAGTCCCGATGCGCACATAAAATGCACATGCCCAAAATTGTTTTGGTTGAGAATTTTGCAGAAGCAGCTCCCCCAAGTATTTTACATTTTTTGTGGGGGTGGCAGCTGGCGGGTGGGCGGGCATCATTAAAATTAAAAAAACCCATAAAAACAGACAGCTGAATGGACGTTGAATGCTCCACGAATGGACATTTTGAAACTTTCAAGCAAACTGACGCACACGACAATGTGAGTGCTCCAGTTGAACGGTGTAGGGGAGATTGTTGGGTTTTCCCAAACTGAAAAGGGGGCGACAATGTAGGGGAGTGGCTTGTCTAAAAGTTGCGAACCCTATGAAGTTGGCTATGCGTTGCATTTGCTGCACGAAAATTTTATTCATGACGGAAGCAATACTCAAAATTTTGTCTATTAATATCTAGGCAATTCTTGGGTTTGAGTAATAGTGAAAAGGGACTGGCCTGGGCTGGGCTGGGCGTACGGTTGGCTTGCTGCGTCTGCATATGTCCAACTGCCAGACCAACTGTCTGTTTGTCTAACTGACACACGGACACATACTACTAGAGTTGCGGTTGCTTGGATACGAAGGCGACTACGGGACCGAACAGCCGATCTGCCTGGGCGCACATTGCCAACATAACCTCAAATTGCATTCCTAATTCCTTTTATACTCTACACAGACACACATACACCCATACACACCCACAGAGAAAGGAGCTTTGGAATATTTCGTAGCACAAAATTTATTAGAATCATTTTATTATTTTGCGGGCAACTACATGTTAGCATCAACATACGTCATATTTTTGTAGAGGGCTTCAGCATGAGGCGGCACAGCGGGCCGATACAGGTGCTCGGACCTAAACACTTGGAGAATGTAATTTTGCAAATGCCGTGTGTATGTGTGTGCAAAGTGTGTAAAGCAACAATCAGACTTCATACGAATATATAATACATGGTATTTCGTAAATGTACTATAAACTATATAATGCTTGCATACAAATAAGCGGATTACAAAGTGTTTTATTCTTGTTTAGCAGGTGAAAATAACATAGAATATAAAAGCAGATTTACAGCGTAAAACTATTTCAAAACAATGCTGCGCCTGTGAAGAGTATTCGGTTGCGATATACCCTTAGAAAGATTAGGTTTTGGCAAACATCCGACTTGATATACATAAAGATGTTTGATTGAAAATTACATAACATCGTTTTCTTGCTTCTTGTTGCTAATTAAGGCCATGCCGATTGGGCTAGCCGCACTAAGAATTCCATTTCAAAATCAAAAGATAAATTTTATAAAACAATTTTCCTAAAAGCATTCTTTAGCATTTCGGTTGGCCACAGCTGAAAACTGTCAGTTCACTTTGTCCAAATAGCTGCAGCACGGAAATGAGCCATAATTGCCGCTGCAGCATCAAGAATGGCAGCTTCTTTGGCTTAGCCACATTTCAGAATGGCTTTGCTCGGCTTGCGGTAGGCCGTCAGCTGCATTCGAATAAGTGCTTAAGCAGCAATAATGAATCTCTCTGCTGGCAACATGAATGTCAACACGAATTGGACTTGTCGTTTGATGCTGCACAAAACATTTACAGTCAGGACATTCGCTTTTAATCACAAAGAGCATCGTGTACCGGCTGCACCCACACAGCCTCACAGCATACTCTATCTATCTCTCTCACTCTCTCTCTCTGCAGTGTAAACTTTGTTGCCTTGTTCAGCATTTGCCGTCTGCTTTTTTGATTGTTGTCTTTCGTTTTTTGCATTTCTCTTTGTTAACTTTATAGCTTTTTAAAACTGTGCCAACATTTTGCTTGTTTTTACTGATAACTTCATCATCGTCCTTGCCATGCATGAAAATTTGCACCGAAAAAAACGACGAAAACTTGTTGGCCAAATGTTTTGTCATGATTTGTGAGTCGGCACGTGTCTGTGAGTGTGTGTGTGTGTGTGTGGCTGTACATGTTTTGTGCTCAGCTTTTGCCTTCTATGAACCACGGCCAATGAAAATGTTGAGTATGTGTACACATCACTTGGCCCAAATTATAATGTGGGTGGGAGGGGTGCCTGAAAGGGGTCTGCAAATGGCTTTTTGTTTTGCTCATTCTGGTCGCTTTGAGTAATTAAATTTATGGCCAGGCGGCACATGCATAAGCTGGCAACCTGTTCGCTTCGATCTCAATATTCGACAGACGCAGATGCTATTCAAATGTTTGACTTTTTGGCCCGTGTCCATAACTGTCCGCATAGGCCCGGCATGATATTTCCTCGTTGTTGTTTTTATTATTGTGCTTGACCGGCTGGCCGGCTATTAATTTCGAGTGGGGGCTCGCTCGGACCGGAGGCCCATGTGTACACATGTTTGGGCTTGTAAAAATGTCATGTTAATTTGTGGATTGTGCGACCAGCAGTGGACACTGGACACTAGACACTGGAGCATGCAAATAAATGTCTGGCTCACCCGTTCACCAGGCACCACCCACGTATTGAATTGGCTTTGAGCGGACTTTTTTGCAGATTTATGAGCGAATCTGATAAGTGCTGCCAATAAATTTGGGATACAACAATTTGCAGAGCATGTTGCTCGTCTCACTGGCAAACAAGGATTTGAGGGAGCTTTCTTTTTGGTTTGCTTTGAGTACTCGGAGTTATTTTATAGCTTTGAATACCAATAGATTTTGTTTGTGGATTAAAATAATGATCCGCTGCTTATCTGGTACAAAGTCGCAGCTAAGCCAGTTCATAGAAATATTTAATATTTCAACTGTATAACAAAATTAAAATGATTTGATATTATTACACAATATCTAGCAGAAAGCAAAGCAATTTAATTATTCCATTTCCTCATATTTCCACTTAAGGATAACATACAGTTCTCTCTTGTATTTCTGTCAGCACACACAACGAACATTGCTCATACGCATCATGCGCCCAGAATTCAAACCAAATGTAATCACAGAGTCGCACACAAAAATACAACAAAAGCCACAAGAAATCAGTGAATTATACAACATTTAAACAATCACAAAACTCTGCGCACACACTCTCACACAGAGAGAGAGAGAGAGAGAGAGAGAGAGAGAGAGAGCGAGGAGAAGAAATGCATAGAAATCCACAAAATTAAGTTAAGGCGTTCACACAATGACGTGAACAAAGTTGGCCAGAAACTTTCGAGAGAGCGAGAAGAGAATGAAGAAAAAAACCAACGTAGCAGAAGTGAAGTAAGTTGAATGCAAGCAAACAAGTTGAACCAACAAACCAAGTCTCTAATTGTGTTTGTGCATGTGTGCATGCAAAGGCTGCTGTGGACTTTATATGCGACGTGGACTATGGCTCACTGTTTTATGTGGCAGACCAGAACGCATCACTTTTGGCTCTGGCTCTGGCTCTGAAATACTACAACAATAGGCGAAGAGCAAGAAAATGTGTAATAGCAAAAGCAAGGCGAATGCCACAGCCAGAGCCAACAATACGTGAAATGCAACATTTTCGGTATGACGCTCGAGCACAAAGGCTCCCCATGGCGCCCAAGCAAATGGACAAAAGCCAGCAAACAGTTCTTGAATACAGTAAAGACGCGGGAATACGTTTCATACTTTATTCACCAAGTAAATTAATAATAAGCTTATCAACATTCATACAAGCCTGCAATTGATTATGTTTAAGCATGTATGCATATATATATATATTTATGGTTCATTTATCATTCATAACTGTAAGTAAATTGATTGAATAAACAGTACTTATTCAAAAATGGTTCGTTCATCTATCATTGTTTCTGCGCATGCAATAAGTTTCCATTGAGCTCGCATTGCTCAAGTATGTAACGAAAATCTTCTGCTTTAGCCAAAGTACGCCGGTTGCCAATCAATATCAATAACGACTTGGCCCGCGAGAGTAGCACATTGAGCAACTTCGGATTGGATATGAAGGTGGTGTTAGCATTTGAACAGACCAGCGAACCAATAATTATGTGCTTTTCGCGTCCCTGGAATCCATGCACGGTGCACACCTCCACGTCCTGATGATGCTGTCTGCGTAGCAACTGCTTAAGCACCTTACACTGTGCCGCGTACGGTGATATGACGCCAATGTCCTTCGCCTGCGGTTTTATGCCATTGCCAATACCCCGTCTAAGCAAAGTTCTCACATACCAGGCAAGCACCTGGGCCTCTTCAAAGTTGTAACTGCTAGATGAGTTCGCCTCGTTGCATGTTTTCCCAAATACTATATGGAATAGAATAGGAGACTGTGTGTTGGGCAATAATGTCCAGTGTTCAGCCAAATTAACACTCAACGGCGGAGCTGTCGCTATAAGCATGTCGTTGTAATATAGCTTATTGAGAAGGTCCACAATTTTTGGATGGGATCTATAGTTGTAACGCAGTCGCGTTTGACGCGTGCAGTCATAATTGCCTTCAGCATCTACCTCGTAATGTTTGCTTAGCATCAGACGCTCCATTAACGACTGGCCCAGTCCCAACTTGGCTGCACACTTGCTAACGACAACTGGGCCCAATTGTTTATGATCACCAGATAATATTATATGACACGAGGGATCCTTAAAGTTAACGATGCCCAGCAACGTCTCTGGCTCCGAAGATGCTGCTGCCTCATCAATGAAAACGTATCGGAAAGGCTGACTGCTTCTAAAGGAAGCGAGAACGCCCGACGTGACCAAAGTGACCACAATTATTTGATAGTCCTGCAGATTTCGTTCCACGTCTACTTGCGATTCTAAATCATTTGAGTGTTTCAGCAGCAAAGGATGTACAGAGTGTCTTTTTTGTAGAAGTCTACGTTTTGAATAAAAACGCAACACCACAGTTCTTTGTTTGTCAATTGGCAAGGATGTAAACCTTTCATGCTTCTCAACATATTCACATATCTTTAGAGCAATTGTGTCGCAAGCAGAGTTGGAGCCCGCAGTCACAAGGATGCGACCTTTATTCAGTACATACAATTGAAGAATGGCCTCCACTATGGTTGTGGTTTTTCCAGTGCCTGTAAGTCGATGTGATCAGTTAGTGTCTACAGCTGAGCTATCTGTCTCTCTCTCTCTCTCTCTTTCTCTCGCTATCTTTCTTCGTACTCACCTGGTGGTCCGAATACAATATATGGCGAGAGAGCACTGGGGCCACTAATAATATTCTGGACTGCTTGCAGCTGGTCAGCATTTGCTGCAATTTCAGTGTTGATCAGGGAAATTTCTGCCAAGCTGGTCGCCTCCATTGGCTGATGGACATCGGATGTGGGAAATAGATATTTTCGTATTCTTGAAGAATCCAAGAGAGCATTGAGTGCGTTATACATTAACCGAAACGAAATGCGCGATGACCTAAAGATTACGGTCCATTGGTTTTTCAACTTATTTTTTGGTATTTCGCAGCAATCGAAAATAACAAAATCGCCATTTACTTTACGAATTTGGCCAACATGACGGCAACTTGGATCCTCAAAGTAGCGATGCTCGTGTGGATGTGGTAGCTGTGCTAAGATCAGCGGCTTCGGCAGTTTCATTTCTAGCAGACTTTCCTTGGGAACAAGTACCAGCTCATCAAAGTACGGACTTATGATATCATTGGGATTACAGTGTAACTGGCGAAATTTCATTTTGTAGCTTTTTTGTGTTTCTTTGGTCGTTTTTCCCATTTTCCAAACTCTTATATACGTTTGATATAGTTGAGCATAGTTATTCATTTTGGTCATATCCTCAATAGTGACCAGTTTCATAAGAATAGAGCAGACATTATCATAGTTCAATTGTAGGTCGTCCAAGTATTCGCCAAACCTGTCGTCATTTGCTCTCAGACTCTCTTCACTAAACTTTGCTTTGAAGGATTGCAGCATATTATAGCTGGGTTTATAACATGGCAAATACATCATTTATTTGGGTTTTATTTTACTTGATATTGGCAAAAAGTTCTTTAATAATTATACGCGTATAAAATACTTAACGATCTAACGCCACTGACTCAGCTAGCTTCGCAAACCGACCACACACAGCTTAATGGGAATTCCACAATTCAGAAAAATTTGACGCTGATCGTGCGAAATTTTTCAAGGAACGATATATCGATATTTGTATAAACTTGTGGCATACATTGAATAAATCTGTATGACCAGTGATAGTCACAGACACAAGTTGATTGTTATAAGAATAAGAATAAGCTAATCGATAGACAAGTAAACAGTTATATAGCAGTTGGCATTTTATTAGTCACAATAGCGTAGTGGCCTATTATGTGAAATTGCGACTGGTGGAAAGTGCAGCTAGAGTCGATAGTGTTGCTGCATACAATCGATCTCTAGGACGCAACTTTTCCCATTTAAGCACTGGCTAAATCTCACAAGAAATTGTCTCAAACTATCAAATCTTTTCTTCTAGACTTCTACAATATTTGTGTAGCTTACTTAATTTGTTGGCCTTTCTTGTGAGTAGATTCTACCCAAGTTTTCAATCCTCAAGCAATGTGGCAATGGTCGCTATTGCGTGATGGTGAAAAAAAAAAAATGAAAACACTGTCGAGATCAAGTTGAAGCGGCAGCAGTACATTTGTTTACCACGGAAGTAGGCTGCTGGCTTCTGCCAGCTGCTGCGAGCGTTGAAATGGAACAAATGAACTTAGTCAAGGTTTGCCAACTGCGCATTCAACACTCACACCCACACTCACACACACGCTCGCACACTCGCAGAGGAAACGATTGCGTCTGTAAGCAAACCAAACAAATGATTTTACTCGTTACAAGAAAAGTTAAACTTGTAAATTCAAATTTCACATTTGTCTGAAATTCGCAATTACATTTTGGCAACAACAATGAAATACGAGCACCTGAGTGTCGGATAAAAGCCCAAGCACAAGCCACGCCCACCCACTTCATGGCTCATTGTTCCGGCGAGAGACGCAGCAAATGGAGCATGAGAAAAAACACAGAAAAAGAGAGTGGTAAGAAGGATTCAGAGAGAGAGAGAGAGAGGGAGAAAAAGAGGGAGAGAGGAGCAGATAGGCAACAGCCAAACATTTCTGAGCTAACCTCCTAAAGCATATTGTAATAATCCAAATGAAATTAAATGTACCGTAAACATTTCAAATTACGGGAGCAATGGGAGCTCAAGGGGCTTCGTTCGATTCAGCTCTACTGCCAACAACCGGCATCCAGCATCCAGCATCAAGGCAGACCATATCAGGTGCAAGCGGAGACAATAAAAATGCCCATAATTGCAAATGTGAGTCGACTGGCTACAATTGGCCAAACAGCAAGTAGAATTGCTAACATTGCTAAACCATTGACCCATGCACTTGGCCAGTGGCTAGACCAAAGCTTAGCCAATTTTTGTAGTTTGGGCAGGAATAAATGTGAAATTAAGCCGGATCAGTTGGTAGCTTTTCTATAACAATGGCTAAAACTTATAAATGTTGGAACTGGAACCCTGAATGCTGCCTCGTATTGAAGTGCTTTAGTCAAATGTTTCATGTTTTTTTCTCCTCAGGTCAGCATATGTGTAAGAAATTCTTGGAGAACATTTAAGTAGTTGCCAATCTTGGATATTATAAATGTGATCCAGATCCATAAATATATAAGAAAGGCTTCTGCTTCTCATAAGATTTTCTTGCAAATCATCGTTAGTTCTTCTCCCATTCTCATACATAAGAAACGTTCAATCATCTGCCCGCATGCCATAAATTTACACAAAACCATATTTTAATCAATTTAGACGTCGCTCAATTCAATTTGGCTATTTTATGGTATAGCACCATTAAATTAGTGCTGCAAATGATTGGGTTAAGTAAAAGGCATACGAATGAAATTGCACATTTTACAATTTAACGGCCACTAAACGACGATGCAAAGCTGCGAGGATCTGCGCCTCGAGGATAATTTATTTCTAAAACAACTCTATCGCGATCCGCGATCCACGGCCGAGTCGATGCCACACAGTGCACATTAAGAGCTCGATTTATTGTGCCGGCTTGCAACAATTTGACAAGCAAATTGCTATAATTTCTTTTCCTCAATGATCGAAAACTATGCGAAGTATCGACTGCGGGGGCCGGGCCAACGAATGAGAGTGTATTTGTGTGTGAGTTTGTGTGTACATGTTGCCAGTCACGAGCAACATTTTCGCGCTTTTATCCAAGACAATTTATGTAAGCGATAAAATCTCAACGACTACTGGACCACAGCTCAGAGAGCTGCCCCGCGGCAGCGCGTTGCCAACTAATTGCAATGCGAGATGAGGTCTTGAGGAGGATCGCGATCCTCCGTTAAATTGCAATAATTTCTTTTGCATTACGAGCTGGCGAATCGAGCCGATGGGCAGCTGGCAGCTTGGCGTATTAGGTGGTCACAGCTCTATTGCTCTATTGCAACTGTCTGCACGGCTTAGCCGTAGAATGGTTTTTGAGCCACAGCTGCTTGAAGTAGGCCTAAGTGTTTTGACTTTACGACTGGAAATGAAGGCAAATATTTATTGACAACAACATAACGGAGAACTTATTGAATACCCTGTAACGGTTAAGAGTTCTGCGTACTCAGCCATGAGCCGCTAACTAAGCACTGGTAATTAGAAGCTGTATGTGTGGTCCACATATATATATACACGCCTAGAGATATGCATTGCTAGCATTTAATGCCTAATGATCGGCTGAGACCTTGAAGCGCATCTGGCCAAAAGAGAGGCTATAAATCAAGAGACACGCATTGCGCCAAAAGGCAATCATCATTAAATTTGTAAAAGCAAAATAAAATGTTTCTATTTTATGTACATAAATACATGTATTACAAATATATATATATATGTATTTATTTATACGTATTTATTCAGTTTGAAGTTGAGTTCCCGTTTGGCTTTTCTCAGAGATGCCGACGCATGCACACACGAAATGACAGCGGCTGAAAAGTCTTTTGATACTGAGCCGAAGTCGGCATCGTAAAATCATAAAAGAAAAATCACAATTTTGCTTTTATTTGCTTAACCGAAAAATATTACTTTGTTGTGAGTTTTACGAGGCCACATTGGTACGTTGACATTGGGTAAGCTGTGCTAAATTAAAAATTACTCCAAGCGCATCAACATCTTTGGTTTGTTTTGTTTTGTTTTATATATTTTTATTTTTTTTTGGTATTGCAAAAAATGGCATTTTATGTAGCGATTTTAATATGCCACGTTGGACTAATTGTTGGCCAGGCTAAGCACTGTGGCAACTTTTATGGCACTTAGAAAGCCGTTAATTCTAATTTTATGTACATACTATGTTGGCTCTTTCAATTTAACGGCTCACTTCGCGCGGTTGGCTTCGCCTCATAATGTTAATTCCTTGTTGATTTAGCAGATTTTATATTGCTGGCGAATCGGACAAAATCATCTGGGGGCTAATCAAGTGCCGATCGTTCCAACGGCCTAATTAGTTTGAACAAATGTCTTGTCCTACGTCCTTGCGGATGACAATTTGAATGAACGTTTACCAACACTGAACTGCTTAAACTGTTCGATAGTCGATAGCTCTTTCAATCAGACGAATCGTACTTATCGATAATGACAAGAAGCTGAACGTTTACCAACACTTATTCTCTCAGTGCATGTGCTTGAAAGTTCGAGACAAATTATACAGAAAGGAAAGTTTCAAAAAGCAATCTGTGCACAATGGCTGAACACATGGAATCCAATTTTTTGCAAATTGTTTCGGTAAATTAAATAAAATTCCAGCGCACGTAAAAACGTAGTTAAAGCAATAAAATATATTTTACGCATTTGCCTTTTCTCATCACACTAACTGCAGCTGACTATCGAGGACTGTTTGGGTTGCGAAAAGGAGTTTTTGAAATTTTCTCAGGTTGACAATGTGCATCTACTGCTGTACAATCTGGACAAGCCGAATGGCACAGTGCCATCGTCGCCACTGATTGTGACGCCCGTCGGCCATGCTCTGCAGCTAATGTGCGGCAAGGAGTATACCAATGGGGAGAGCTTGCGCCGTTTGTCGCAGCTGGAAGTGGGCAAGGGAAGCGTGAAGATGACCTTCAAATTGGAGCGCTTGGGCGGCATTAGTGTTGAATATGATCCCGATCCCGAGAGTGACTTGGACATGGAGCCAAGCACTTCGAAGCAGGCCCAAGAGCGCCAGGAGCGCCGCAGTCAACAAAAGCAACTATTGCGCTCGCGTCGCCATATGATCTACGAGGTCAACGTGCATCGTCGTTTCGACGATGAGGATCGCTTAGATTGCATTAACTTCCAAATCAATTTGGGCGAATGGCGTGAAGTATCCGTTGTCGAGTTCCACAATATATTCTTCGTGCAGCCACCACAATTGTCGGAGCTCATGTGCAATGTCCAACAGGACTACGCAAATAACTGGCTGAAAATCATCCAGGCCGATGCTAGCACCTACAGCAATCTCAGGTGTCTGACAAACCTAACATTTCCTAACCAACCTAACAAACTCATGACTGTGTATTCGTTGCAGAGAGGATGGCAATCCGTTCGATACTTTCGCCAAGCTACTTGATCGCCAGAACAATGACCACCATCAGCTGCTTCTGAAAAAGCTGGCCACCAATTGCCTGGCGGCCAATGAGGCCACTCGTTTGACCGAACGTCGATTCTTACTGCAAATGTTCGACAAAGTTCGCATCATTTTTGAGTATATCACGATCAACGAGTACACCGTGTGGTTCTTTGTGCCACGCCTCAATCGTTATACGGCTTTGGATCAGGTGGTAAGAGAGGAATAGTGCTGATTGCATTAATCCCTATAGTTATTGAGTCTCAATCACTGTTCCAGACTGTGGACGACTTTGACTTTTGCAATGTGCGCAGCAGCATTAAGTTAATTCGGGATGAAAGCGAATTCTTCTGGCATCGCACTGACCATAATATCATCGACATACTACTAGTGGCCTTTCAACTGGCACTCGCACACATTGCCAGGCAGTCGGTCTTGTTTCTGGGCCAACTCGAGAAGGTGTGTATAAGTAGCTTAAAAGTCTTCTCACACTCACGCACTACAAATACACAATTACTACTACAACTACCACCTCGTGCTACCACAGCTAAGCGAGTTTGTTTGCTTGCAATATGCGACGGCTACCTTTATGAACGGCACTCAATCAAAATCTGATGCTGCCAACACGACTGTAAGTTTCGGCCAATTTCAAGAGCTTCGATCTGAACAATCTCTTCTTTGTATTCATATTTATTGCAGAAATGGTTTTGCATGCGCTACTTGCATCGCATTATCGAGCTATCAGAGTCGCTGGGCTTGGTGGTGTTCATTGAGTATCCTGGTGCCATGACACTGCTGCCAGAGAATCGCCAGGTAATCAAATGCGTGCAAAAGCGAGATGTCAAAACTGGCGCCATCTCTTGGCAGGTAGGCGAGGATGTGACCAAAGTAGCGGCCAGCGGCATTCAGAATCTGAAGGAGGTCATCAATTTGAAGTAAATGCATGTTTCATTAACGATTTTTTTTTGTTTTGGGATTCATATTTTTTTTTAACAAACTGCTTACACACATATATATATATATATATATATATATATATATAATCATTTATATTATATATTATATATATATATGCATTGAATTGGGATCTTTTGGGCAAAGAATGTTTTATTCATATTCTAATTGTATTCCTTTATGTATTCATATTTGACATAATAAATGAATTAGCAACATTTTATAGCAACAACTTTTAAACGCATTTTTTATAATCTAATAAAAAAGACTTCTGCTTGCCTTATCAAACTCCTTTTTAGTGTTTGCTATCACATGCAAATGCTTTGGGAGTTCTGCTAGCTAGATGTGATCATTTTTTAGCTGCATTTCAATTAGGTTGCCGCCTGTCAGTGTGGCCTGAACACCAGTTCCAAAATGAATAACAAAAATGTTGGCCAGCATTGCTACCAACAGGAGCAGCAGCAACAGTACGCTACATTAGTTGTCAGTCAGTGGCACGCGTCATTTTCCGGCGAATTGCATTTTGTGCAAACCGAGAGCATTTTTGGCCAGCTTCCCGACACTGACACATATTAGAAGAAGCAGAGAGCCAAAGAAGGATGTAGCTGACAGTATATGTTTTCCGCATCCGTATCCGTAACCCAACACTGGCTGGCTGGCTGGCTGCCTGGCTTGCTGGCTGACTGACTGCTTGACTGATTGGTGGTTGTTTGTGCAACTTTTAGTGGTGCATTTGTTGGGCCCAGACAGCATTTTGAAATGCTTTCCGAGCATTTCTCACGTCTTGTTGTGAGCGTTGTCAGTCAAATGCATTTGCACTTCATCGCTCATACGCAACGTGGCCCACGAAATTTAAACAGCATTTACTATCTCTACTCAGCGCACTGTTAAAAGCAATCAAATAATTTTTTTCTGCGCCCCGGCAACATCATCTATTGCTTTTAATGGAGTAATTAGTTTTTTGTAGCTGCTAGGCAGACATTTTTTAATTTATTGGCGAATATTTGTGGCCCTGGGGTCAGATTTTAGCGGTTGGTGTTGGACAACTCGCCTGACAGGTTCCACTGCAGCACTTCTGGCAGCTGCAGGCTGCATTACGTGCCAGCTTTCGCACCTCACCCAATGTAACGAGACGGCGCGACCTGTGGTGCACTCAGCGAAATGACAGCTAAGCCGCAGCTACACGCACTAGTCAAGAGCTTACTGCAACGCCACACAGCCGCCGTTGGCAATTTGAATAATTGCGAAACGGCACCGAAAAAATGCTCAGCGAGGCTGCCCTTAGACTTAGCTCTCATTTCATGATTTGCACTTGATATATTTTCTGCTTCGGCAGCTGGAAAGTAAACACAAGCTAGATTCAAGCACAATTTTCCTGGCCTCCTTTGTATGCACACTGTAAACACTCTTATTTCAATATAAATATTCGTATATATGCGATCTAAGTAATGAGTCGCATTGTTAACACATGACTTTATTAAATTTGCTATCAAATGTCCCTTTAACAAGTTGAGATTAAACAGCGTTGCTGATTACCCACATAAGGATGCCTAAGGAGCCAGAAAAGGTTGCGAACTCGAGCCAGCGGCAAGACAAACGGATGCTCAGTGCTGCATAAAAAAAGGTCAAGCCCGTCTTTGGCATAATTAAAAATTAATAAGCGGCTGCTGGAACAACAACAGCTGCTTGGCTCACCGAAGCATCGCATCGCAATCTGTAATTATGTAAGGGCGATTTCATGATGCGACTACAACAACAGCGGCAGCAGCAGCACAGCTATGACGGCATTTGCCCTTTTACTGGCTACTGACCCGGGCAGCCGAAAATGTTAGCCAGCTTCCTCTCCGTCCCGTTGGCTGTAGCCAGCTGCTAAAAGCGCAAATGAGCATTAAAAACTCGATTCAACTAAATATTTAAACAGTTTATTATACCGTCTGCCAGCCCCTATACACACATACACTTACACATGCCCAAGCCCACACGTGTGTCATGGGCGTGGCAGACGCTAAAAGCCGCGCCTGATTATGGCCCCCTGCCCACCCGTGAGCCAGCCACACTCCCCTACAAAGCAGGCGCGTGCAATGCGCCAAAAGGAAATTTAAATTTGAATTAATTATGATGCTGGATTCTGGTCTGATTTCGTCCTGGCCCTGGCTCCCGCCCTACCGCTGCTGTATTTGTATTGGCCAGCGTCCTGGCACCTACAACTGACTGCAATTAGTCGCTGCGGGTCTGTGGCCAACTGCATGAGTGTTAAAATTCGCCAAACAACAAATACAACCACTTAACGCCGCACAAAAGGCGGGACTTAGAAACGAAGTGTCAAGTGGCCATAACTTCAGCTTTAACGTGCTCTACGCTAATTCAGGCATTTAACGTTGTATTTACAAACGGCCAGATAAACAGCTGGAAGACTGTCCAAAGACGGCTTATCCATCCAAATGTGAATGGCAGCGGCCTGTTAAATTACAAATGAACTCAGTGGCAAATGGGACAACTGCAGTTGCTGCCGGGAACCGCAGGCAAGGTCATCGGCATTTCACGATTTTCCAACTGAAACACGTAGCCCTATCGGTTTGACTGATCCCCCATAGATAAGGCAATGGGCAGCATTTGGAATTGGAAATGGAGATGGAGATGGAGATGGAAATGGAAATGGAAATGGAACTGTGTGGCATTCAGTGAAATCAAGCATTCAAGTGTCATTAATTAGTCAACAAACATGGCCAAACAATTGACGGCCGCTTTGGTGGTCAGTGAAAAACAACATTCATTGGCCACGCCCACGCACGCTTTTACGCTTCATTTGACCAAAACGAAAGAGTGAAGGCGCGTGGCGCTGGCCGCTGCATTTGCGTTTAATTACGAAATAATCCAGTGGACGGTGTGCACGAAAATCGATTGGGATTGTGTTTGGGATTGCGATTGGCATAGGCGCTGCCTCTCATCTACGTTTGACTCCACTTCAATGCACAGATCACCCCCCAGCCCCCAGCTCACAGCTCACAGCCCATAGCCACCAGCCTCCAGGCTCGCTGCATGTCAGCGCCAATGATCCGACTCTGGAACGCCCGTTGACGTTGCTAACCCAATTAAACTGTCGCCCACTAACTCCGTCCCCCACTTGTCTACCCCGTCCACCGCCGCAATTGCAACTGTTGCCAGCATTTTGCCTGGCACTTTGCCCAGACCGCAGAAGCAAAAGCAAAAGCCTCGCAAACGTTTCACTTCGCGGGCTTCAATAGCAATTTGGGTAAATTCCTTTTTAATTTCAACCGCAGCCGCCGAGCTTCGTCGCTCTCATGGCCTATTAGCCGCTGGCCTAGAGATAGCCGCGTGACTTCCCATCAAAAACGAAACAGAACTCAACAAAGGATGTGCGATATATTCTAATATTTAATAATAATATTCATGAAAACATCATATTATATTAAATATAAAATGTAGTTCTAAGTCAATTTAATTTCTATTTATAACATATACATCTTATATAAGGAATTTGTTTGAAGCATGAAACTTTTAGATATCAAAATTGAGGCTAAGCAAATGATGTTAACATGAAATTGTATTATATATTATTTCACACATTTCAGCATTCATTTATGCTATTCCTCAAGGCAGAGCATATATTTTGTATATTTTTATTATATATATTTTTTTTGTGTCACGCGTTCATCTCTAAAATGTGGTCCTGGTGCGACGCAGTACCAAAATTGAATTGGATGTTAGTTTTAGTTATCGTCTGCGTTGTGCCTGCTTTTTTTTTTTGGTCGAGAAACAATTTTCAATGACATAAAGACAAAAATTTCATTAGCCTTTCAATTACACGCGCACATAAACAGACTCACGCATAAACACAGACAGACAGGCAGACAGACCTGGCCTAGACTCAGCCAGACATAAGCGCAAAGAACGCCCGGGAGATAAAGACGCCGTTATGCCTTTTTTTTTTGGCTTATTTGACATTCTTTACTTTTTTTGTCTGGCCAAAATCAGATTTGCGTACATCTTTGCGCTGCTGTTAATCTTGTGAGCAGTGGGCGTGTTGGCTGCTTCGCTGCCAGCCAGCAGCACATATTTGATATCTGCTAGTTAATTTGTCATGTGAACAATTTGGTATAGAAAATTATGCTTTAAATTGCTTATGAAAGTTGCTACTGTTAATTGCCGTAAATGGGCCACGCCCACACGCAAAATCTTCATATTTGATGCGCAAACATGCAGCAGCCTTTGCGAATTTCCACACACACACACACACCATCTTTTGCAGAAGCAATTTTCTTTAGAATTTTTCGGCAACTTTTCTTTGTGTTTTTTTCTCGACTCTTTGTTGACTCTTGTCAGCGGCTTTCGGCGTTTTATCATCGTGTTTATCTTCACAAAAGTTGCATTCTCTTTGTGCTTATGCAATTATGTCTGAAAATGTAATTTCGACTCTTCAGCCTAAAACGTTTTTGTTTGTCTTGAAATATTGTTTACACAATTGGTAAAATTGCCTCTTGTCTGTAGAGTTTTTTTTGTTATTTTCAACAACAATTTTAATTAGTTTCGCATTGAAAAAGAGTTCTTTTCATACCAATGTTTATTACTTTCTGATTTGAGGCAAAGCTTTACAAATGATGGCAAACAATATAAACAATAAACATACATCGATGGCATTATTTACTTTTTATTTGGCTTTAATTAGAAATATGAACAAACAATTTTTTTTGTATTTCTATTGGCTTATTAGCGCCATATTTAAATTGATTTAGGTAACAAATTTTAAGAGCGGCTTACATCAAGCCCATTAGTTAACCGGATAAATAATTTATACCAATTACTCCCTCTTTACCAATTACAAGCAAAAAGGCAATAAGCAAAATTCAAATATATTTTATTTATATTTTCATCGAAATAGTCCCATTTTGCTGATCGAGTAGTCCGTTTAATTTCTACATTATATTTAAGTTTTTTTTTTATGCTTTTATATGCTGAATTATTTGTATTGCCAGGGCATCTGCAGTTCGGAGCATTTTTTTGGTCCAATTTACATATTATATTTGAATAA